CGATCTGAAGATTATAGGAGTCTGCTCCAAAATATTGTGGGTTATCTCCCATGAGATGAACTCCCGTATATGCTCATCAATCAGCTTAGTACCTGCACCATAGCCGGAATGAGAACATGAACCTCCTCAAAATGTGCCCATCACCATTCTGAAAATAAATCATAAAAATGATCAAAACATACCCAAGAATCCTTAACCCATAGGCTTCCTAGGTTCCCCGTGACTCTCCACGATTCAAGTCTGGATTATGTGCTTTCAGTAGTACGAGCCTAATCCTACCTTCCACACCTATCCATACTTTCCTCAAGAATTATTCTGAATCCTCCATGTCACCTCCTCACACTTTTACTCCAAGTACTCGCTAAACAATGCATCTTTTACCACTAAACACTTCCTAGGCCCTCCTAGGTTCCTCACCCTGCCATCAGTTGTTGAAGAATTCCTACCAATGTCAATCAAGTATCTCATGAATACAATTACATGCCACAAACCTTAGATAATCATTCAACTAACATACCCACCCTTACAACGGTTGGACCCAGACAAGAGCTACGCAATAGGGTTAAATCAATCACTTTGAGATTATTTAACCTTCGCAACATGTGATTTATAATATTAACTTAATAGTTAAATAATATCACTAAGGGTCCCACAAAGCAGAAAGCAATTAACATTCATACAGTAACACTCCAAGCCATGAAAAAAACAAAGGGCATCCCAACTCAGTTGCTACTACCATGCTAGGAACTTCTACTATCACTGTCAGTTGCCTTATGCGTGCAAATTATACACTATACATGATTAAATAGTATGTCGTATAAACACTCTACCCTAGTACCACAACTAGACAAGGAACGGGAAATAAGGCAAAATCAATCATTTTAGGGTCATATGACCCTAATCGTATACAATTTTTAAAGCATATAATTAGCAATTACAAATTCCAAATCTAGCATAGCATTTGATCCTCCTAGGCTACGAGGAATTATATATCATGCAAATCCATCCAATCATTTGAAATCCATACTAACACGCAATTCCAAAATCTCAAACAATCGGGCATATAAATGCATCTCTCCTAGCATGAAATACAAAGTAGATCCTTAGCTCTAATCTAGCATGCAATTCTCATAACATATAATCATAACAAACATGTATGGGTATTTTAGGAATCACTTACTTGAGCTCGACTTAATGCACGCATCACATCCTTTTCTTCTTTAAAATATTTTTAGAAAATTCTTTTTCTTTCAAAATTATTATCAATTCCTCAGTTTGTGTTCAGACATACCCGAAAGTGTGCCCGAATTTCTCAAACCGAGGTTGTGATACCAACTTGTCACATCCCAAAAATTCATAATAAAATTTTCATTTTTAAAACAATAAATCATACAAACGAGTTGTTCCACACCGATCAAAGTGAATATATGATTTAAACATCAGAGTAATATCATTAATTGCCTATGCAGAAAACTTTGGGGGATGATGTGCAGTCACGCTGGGCCCTTCCCTTTCGAACCGAAAGTATTTGAAACCATAAATATGAAACTGTAAGCACAAAGCTTAGTGGATTCCCCAAAATACCACATACCATACATACAATAGAGATTGCTATACATAGTCTTGTCATTATGCCACGAGTCGTATTATGGTCTTTCCTTGTCGGGCCTATCGTGGGTGTGTGTGTGTATGGGGGGGGGGGGGGGATTGTATCGTCATTGGCTAATGGTGCATTTGATTAGAACGGATGATCAACTAATATCCTAGGAGTGGTTACAATTTTAATTGGAAACCGATTGATTTATTTAGGTCGAGAGAAATTATGTCTGGTAATTGGGTTTGATTTTGGTGGTTAGTATCGTGATGTATCGAAGAAATATTTCAAAAATGTTAATTCACCATTTTGAAAGCACTACTGCCCATGCGAGACTGACTGATCTTATCGTTAAAAAAAGTTATAGATGACTTTTTTTTATTATCAATTCTCATTTCATCAATTAACAATTAGTAAACATTATTTTTAAGATCGAAATTTTATATTATTAATTTATTATTGAGAAAATTGTAAGAAGTCACTATATTAGCATAATTTTTTGATTTAGACACCGAGTTATTTTTTTTCTCAATTATGTCATTATATTTACAATTTTTTTTGCAATATCAACCAAATGACCAGTTCTCCCTGATCTCCGGTAACCGTTTTTTCTGAATTGCAATAAAGTCACTAAGTTTACCAAAATTTCAGTTTTGACACCAAGTTTCAAATTTCAAGAAAGTCACTATATTACCACAAATTTTCAATTTTGACACTAAGTTTTTTTTTTCTCAATCATATCATTACATTACAATTTTGTTGCAATGTCATTCATTTGTCCAATTCAGGAGATGTTATTATGGTTTAGAAATTCAATTTGTACAACAAATAAATGAAGTTCTGTCCTATGGTTTAAAATCACATACAAGTCATTGAAAAGGACATAATCACTCTTTTAGGAGATGTTATTATGATTTAGAAGCTTGACGTGTACCGCAAGTAACTAAAGATGTCTACAAGGTCGATCTAAGACCTCTACAAGGTTGATTTATTTGTACAACAAATATAATAAGACCCATATAAATGAAGATCCCTACAAACTCGCCTGTAAACTAACTGATCGGTTACCATAATCTAGCATGTTACCAAATAAATGATATGAAAATATTGTGATGTGGAAGTCACGTAAAATCTTATGTGGTAGGATTGAGTTTTAAATATAGGATTTGCATCGAATCTAATTTCACATATCATTTTAGGTTGATCTAGTGGTTCAAAGTCACTTAAAAATCAGCGAAAAAGACGCTCAACCTTTTAGGTGACACTATTTATTATAATGTTTAATGTTAATTCTTATTAGAGTATTTTTTTCACAAATGACGTATGAATGTCATTCTAGTGGTTCAAAATCACTTAAAAGTCAGTGAAAATGGCGTACTCACCATTTCAGAAGCTATTATTGTGGTTTAGAAGTTTGATTTGTACAAGTAAATGAAGACCCCTACAAGGTCAATCCAGGAGATGTTTAGTGAATTTGAACCACTAAATCGACCTTATAGGGTTTTCATTTAATTGTACAAATCGACTTCTAAACCACATTAACATCTTCTGAAATGGTGACTATTCCATTTCTTGTTGACTTGTATGTGAGTTTGAACCATTCGACTAACATTTATTTATTTGTTGTACAAATCAAGTTTTTAAATCGAGCTTGTAAACCACAATAACATCTCCTGAATCGGATCAATTGGTTAACATTGCAACGAAATTATAAATGTAATGATATAATTGAGGAAAAAAACTTTTTGTTAAAATTGAAATTTTGGGGTAATATAGTGAATTTCTTCCAATTTGAAACTCGGTATCAAAATCAAAATTTTATAAACGTAGTGATTTTATTGCAATTTAAGAAAAATTGTTACCATGAGAACCAGTTATTTTGTTGATATTACAACAAAACTGTAAATATAATGACATTATTGAAAAAAAAATTCAAAATCAAAATAAAAATTTATGGCATTATAACAACTTAATTTTTTTTATGATTTTTCCTTTTATTATTTAATATACTTAATTATATCATCCACGAAATCAAGCTTATACCAAATTGCACTTTGTGAGGGTTATGACTTGTAGTACTTTGATTGTAACCAACAAGGCAACGAATGCCAGTAGGGAAATATTCTTCGAGGCTTTCGAGCTGTTTACTCTCTTGGTGGGGTATTATTACATACACATAGGTGTAAGGTGTTTGCAATTCTTTAGAGCTATTTCAAGAAATAATTTTAATGTCTCGGCTGAAGGTTGGTAGCCAAGCTTAATCTTATTAATAGTTGGCCTAATTTCGATCAACTTTCAATTAATTGGTTAGCGGTTAATATTATGAAGGCAATACATAAATAAATCTAAATATTCGTCGAATTTATTCAAATAATAATATTATATTTGTGATTTGTCAAACCCAAAAAATAGATAATTTAATGGGGCCCTTGGGGATATAACCATTCAGGCACAAAT